ATTTGAAAAGTACTTGGAAAAGAGGGATCTTGGGAGGTGCTACCAGGCCTTCTCTGTGGCCTTCAATCAAGATTTCAAGAAGCCCATTTAAGGGCTTTCTTTCTTCACAAAATTCTCCAAAATAAACACTCTAACGACTAGACATCCCTCCCACTCGTTATATACATAATAGTTTTATTAAGGACTTAAAATACCCATAAAAAATATAATAATTAAATGACCTGCATCCTCCTTATATTTAACGTAATTCACTGTGAACCGGTTATGGACTTCCTTCTGTACGTCCTTTATGTGCTGGGCATAAACGTCAGCTTCAGCACTCCTCCCCACATAAGTTAACGGAACATGGTCCAATAGTGGGGAATGGAATGACCATACACTATCTCAAAAGGAGACTTCCATAACGATCCGTAAACCGAGCTATTATAAGCAAATTCAACTTGAGTAAGACTCAAGTCCCACTGGATCGGCTTCTCACCTGCAAGACATCACAACAAATTTCCCAAACTATGGTTGACTACCTCAATCTGCCCATCAATTTGAGGATAATATGCACTACAGAGGCTAAGGTTTTGGGATTTAAGATTAGCCATCATTATGAAGATTTAATCTTGACCATAGATCATAGGTTATATGTGGGGTGAGAGATCTTAGCTATACAATCCATGGATCAGCCATCATGATCAAAAGGAATGTGCTAGAACATTATCACATAGTTTCCTCAACCTAATTCCATTAAAATTTTCTTTATAGGAAAGTGTCATATAATTCTAATTTGTGTAAAAGGATTTTCAATGAAATCTCAAACTTTCCCTTTTGAAAACAATTAGGTATATCTCTTTAAGGCTTCTAGATGCCTTCCTCAACAAGCCACTATGTGTGAGAGAGAGAAAATAGAAGGGAGCGGGGCGTGCCACTTTAGTGGCCACCAAGTAGACCCCACACCCTTTTCAAATAGACCCCACGCCCCACTCAACTGGGGTTTAATGTGGTTGGCCCCAATCAATTTTGGGCTCCCAGAAACTTAAGTGATTTTTTAAATTAGTAAAATGATTTTTAGAAATCCATAGGTATTTTATTTTTCCTTCTGAATATGTAAATTCCAGAAAATTCAATTTTAGCATATTTAACAATCATTTTTGATAAAATAAAATATCCATAAATATATAAAAATTCTTATTAATATTCTGAAAATCATTTAACAAAAACTTAATCATTTTGAAATTATTTTAATGGGAATTTGACCAAGTACTTTAAGAAAAATGTGAATGTACAGATATTTGTATCTCTACCTGTGACTATGTATGTCCAGTACTAACTTTTCCAAATTGAACTAACAGTTCTCATGACCCACAGCCCATCGCAGGGATTCATGATTGGACTATCAAAGTCAGCCAATACATGATGAGAACATAATTCTAATCCATGGATTACATCTTTCCCCTGAGGGATAAGCCTAGGTCACGCAAACGTGTGCACACTTATCGCAATTAGTGCATGGGGACTATCTCCCGCACATGTACATATCACACTCTTAATGGTGTCTACTTCCCAATACAACTATCATATGTGTATGTTGTGCGATGGTCATGATGAGAATTTGGCCATTGTCCCTTCAAGCCTACCAATCGCACACAAGGGTTACGAAGTCCCTTGGCCAACCACACTAGACATCTCTACGACCTCATCAAATGCTAACCCTGTAGACGCTTCTCAATTGTGCAATATGCCCAAGGCTATAGGGTTTTAGAACTCAACCCGGCCTACCTCATCAAGCCTAATTTGGGTCTTGGCATCAATATTGCCAACATCAGCCCCTCTAGACCATATACTCCCATAGGAATTAATCATTCCGCTATCATGAAATTTCATTACATGCTCTCATAAGGCCTTTAAATGGCCACAAAATCCCAACAAGGATGAGAGAGATAGAAGAGAGGAAGGCATGCAGAACTAAGGGACGAGAAAGAGAGGGGTGTAAAGAAAAATGGTGAAGGGGCTACTCCCAAAAAGTAGTAATTATAGGTGCAAACTAGGGTTTCTAGGGTCTAGGTTTGTCGCGTTTTGAGACTTAATCTTAACCGTTGATTTAAGGAGAAATGTTGGGTGAGGAGATCTTAGCCACCCATCATTGTAATGTTTAAAAACCTATAATCCTGGGAATTGTGTGAACACAACCGATAAGGGTTTTCAATGTGGGGTTATCCGTCGATGAGGTCAGAAATGTACCTAGGACAGATAGCCAGGGGCCATGGATTTGACCCTTGTGTGTGATGGATGCCTGAGAGGACAACGGCCCAAATCCTCATCATTACCATCACACGGCCTGTACAATAGATAGTTGTCCGGGAAGATGCCCTTTTGGATAAGGGTGTGTGACGAGTACATGTGTAGAAAAGATGACTCCCTGGAACACTGGACTATTGGAAGGACCCATGGAGCATACTGCTGAAATGGGGCCTGAACTTGTCCTCAAGGAGGGACTTGTAATTCATGGTCTAGAATCGTAACTCCACTTTATTGGCTGACTTTGATAGTCAAAAATAGACATCTTAAAAATCTAATACATACCCTAAACAATTTAAAAAATAGACTTCTAGCCCGAGGACAACTTGCTTGGATATTAAATTCATCAACTTAAGAAAAGCCACTAACTAATCTATGATAAAAAAACTTTAAAACACCTTTGAAGAAAATTTTAAATTGAATTAAAGCAAATTATGTACAAAATCAGCAGATATTCATGCACATAACTGAGTAAATAAATATGTAAAAATCAAAAAGTAAATTTAGGAATTTGTTTTAGTGACTAGAAGAAGAGATTTTGAATCTGTGATGCATTGAAATCTGTTCTCAAACAGTATCAGCTAAGAGGTTGACATCGATAAACTTTAAAGCTAATCTATGGCCCGAAGAGAAGAAGTAGGTAAAGAATAATTTTAAAGGTTTCCACACCTAATTCTAGGGTTTTAAAAGTTAATAATGCATAGGAAAATTATGGTTTTGATTTTAAATTGAGATATTATGGATAGAAAATAGAAACGAAGGGAAAAAAAGAAGAAGGAAAAGAAGAACAGAAGAAATTGAAGAATACCTTAGAAGGGAGGGACTTTGGGAGGTGCTACCAAGCTTTCTCCTTCAATCAAGATTTCATAAAGCTTTTCTAGGGTTTTCTCTCTTAATAAAATTCTCCAAAATAAGCATTCAAAAGGCTGTACCATAGTGACCAGAATCTCTCCACTGACCTCGTGTTTCCGGTTCTGAAACCCGATCCCGCGTTTCCGTTAAGGAATTGCCACGGAAACCGTTTTTCAGTACCAAGGAAACTCGATTCCTTAATTTCAGAATCTCAATTCAACACATCTTTAGAAACTATTTTTCGAAACCAAGGAAACTCGATTCTTTAATTTTGGAATCTCAATTCAACACATCTTTAGAAACCATTTATCAGAACCAAGGAAACTCGATTCTTTAATTTCAGAATCTTGATCCAACACATTTGTAGAAACTTGAACCCATTAATTGTAGGTAGAAGTTCCCAAATATATCAAATCTAGATTCCAACGAGGATTAATCTTGATTCCACGTCAATTGGAGTAGAAATCTTCTTTCAAATGCTTCTAGTGGTCGCAGGGTTACATTATTTTACTTGGGTCACCATGGATGGCCATAACTTTAAATTTAAAATATAAATGGTAAATACAACACATATAATTAAAAGTAAAACCATGGCTTGTAGACATAATCCTATTTTATCTTTATAATAATGAAGTCAAAATTACAATTTAGAAATACTTCTCTTTTGTATATAATGACCGTAAGTTCAATAGTCAACACAATCACTTTAAAATTTGGGAAACCTTCTAATAAGAGACATCCAATATAGGTTTTAAAGTTGATAAGGCTCGCGATGTACTTGTGGATTCCTTCCCCATAAAAATGAAATCTTGATTCGTGGTAGGGGTCGTCAAACGCAATCCATAATCTATATTATTGTAAATCTTGATCTCAAACTGGCAAAGATTTCTAATCCATATAGTTCAGAAACTTGATTTCGTATATGTTAGAATCACGATTCGGAATAGCAACATATCTTTGTTCCACATATGTCAAAAATTCAATTCCATAGATGTCGGAAACTTGATTCCGCATATTAATGAATCTTGACTCATGGGGTGATAATTCCAGTGGGATGGGAATCTGGATTCCAAGGAGGACGGAATCTTGATTTCATATGGGGATGACACTTGGATTTATTTCGGTCGAAACACGATCCTCAAAAACTAGGAATCTCGTTTCTAGAGATTCCTATTGTACAGACATTGATTCCTAAGACAGGAATCTTCTAGCCGGCTGTGATTTCGCAATTCCGGTTCCTAAAACAATTCGGGTTCCTAGGCGTTTCCAACAACTATAGGCTGGACGTCCCTCTCTCTCCTTATATATGCATAATTGTTTAATAAAAAAGGCTTAAATTACCCCTAACTAAAATAAAGTAATTACATGACCAAACTGCCCCTGAACACTCTACAGCACCCAATAGAAATAAATAGCCCCCAACATAACAAAAATAATTAAAAGTTAAATAGCCCTAGCTTTTCACCCTAAAAAAACTAAAACCCTTGATCAAATGATTAAATTAAACGAGTCCCATAGAAGGCCACAATACCCTCATCACTTATTGAGGGTTATGATATTGGTTGTATTATAAATAGAGGAGTCCAAAAAACCATAGTTTTGAGAAAGAAAACCAGTGAGATGTAATGACTGTAACTGTCAAATGTAGAAAACTATACAAATAGGGTTCAATTGTTTTTCAAGAAATGTGACAAAGAAGACTTACGTTATTCGACCAACATACTAGAGCAATATGCATTAACAATGTCATTTACACAAACAGTATGTCCCAAGACAAGAAGACTTAGAAAATTGAGAATACAAGTAGTTATTCGAAAGCAATTCTCAATGGGATATAAGTTCATGAAGATCCAAAGTCTTACTTTTGATAAGTACTCTGTGATTAGGATCATCTCATCCTCATGTTCAATTGCACCAAGAATTTCTAAAATATTAGGATGCCGTAGTTCCCTCAGAAGAGACATTTCCTTAGCAGATAATTTTCTGTTAGTCCATTACAAGTGAACAAAGATTAGTTTCAACTGCTACTAATGCAAATTCAACTGAAATCTTAAAAATTCATACCAATAAAGACAATGAAGACTTTACATTCTTCCTGGGTAATAAATTCCTGTTGTAATCATAGTCTTCACTACCCAAGTTCCACGCCATTTAACTTTCTGAGAAACACCGGAGACACCCTGACAAGTAAAAAAAATGCTTAAAATCAATTAAGGAATGACACCCACAATGTTATGCTTCCATTGTACATAGGCAGAACAACAAAAGGGACTACAGAAACATCCAAATGCACCATATAAAAATCCGGAAGTAATAGTATCTAATACATATCATTGTTGACATGCAGATATCCAAAAACGAATATTGCAGAACAGAAAGCATATTTCTTTTAATAGACACAAACAACTGCTTTATAGAACATCAAACAGCTAAGCACCACAAAGAATAATTAATACTATGTAATATCAAGGATGGCATGTTGGACGAGAGTTATTGATTCTATTACAGACTCTTCAAATCAAGCTAGAACTCAACATATCTCATCATTTCTCAATGACATTTAGTCTACTTCAAATACGTTGAACTTCCCAGCTGGGACCCACAGCAACCTCAATCTGTAACCCCTTGGTCCTCAGGACTTGGAACCCTTTCATTCCTCCTAGAATCCAGTTCTTTAATTGGTTCACCTTGTGGGCTAGAGTTCTTACCGTAGATCAATTACAAAGACGTGACTTCCAGACCCCCAACAGATGGAGGAGATCATCGACCACCTCTTTATCCGTTGCCCACTAGCCGGAAACCTTTGGAGTGACACCCTACATCTCTTTGATCATGGCTAACCCCTGAGTCTGTCCCCAGTCTCTTTAAGCTTTCTGCTTTTCTCCATTGGCCGAAATCCAGAGCTATACTATGGAATGCTACAGTTGCGACGAACCTTTGGACAGTTTGGAAGGAAATGTAGCGTAGCGTCATCCACTTTCCTCCCACAACCCAGCCATGCTCGCCCTCTTCGAGACCAAGGTACCTGCCCCTGACCCTTCATTGGTTAGGGAAATCTAGGGGCGGAATCCCTACAATTGGATCACAAAACATTCTCAAGGGCCTCTGGGGGAATTTGGGTTATTTGGAACCCAATTGTACTTCAAGCCCTTTCCTCCCAGGTTTTGGATCATTCAGTGACTATCAAATTTAGCCGAATCTCTGATAATGTCCTTTTTCGGTCCACTCTAGTCTGTAGCCCTAATTGCCCGATACATTGCTAAGACCTCTGACCGAAACTTAGATTGGTCACTTCGTTTCCTGACCTCCCCTAGCTCCTTAGAGGAAATCTCCATGAGGTTAGATGGACCCATTAAAAATTTAATGGTGGTCGCTTGACTAACATTATGAGAGCTTTTTGAGAATTCATTGAGAATATCCCTCTCATCAATATCCCCCTCTCTGGGGCCTCTTTTACCTGGTCCAACCATGCCACTAATCTTATCATGACACAAATTGATAGATTCTTAGTCTCCTAATCCTGGGAGGCTATTTTCATAGGGAATTGCTCCCATGTTCTACCTAAAGCAACTTCAAATCATAAGCCCATCCTCTTGGACACCAACCCTGTCCAATGCTTGACTAAACCAATTAGATTCGAGATTTTCCGACTGGAAGAGCCTTCTTTCGCTCAACTCTTCAGATCTACTTGATCATCCCTCACTATTGGCTTGGCAGGGTTCAGACTCCCTCGAAAACTTCTTTTGAAGGATTCCTTGAAGCATTGGAGTTGTGCCCTTCCTACAAACTTCAAGGAGCAGATCAATGCGTACTTTGCAACTATTCTATCCCCTTATTCCTAGGAAGAATCGCGAGTTCTCACTCCTAAGGAAAGTGCAAATAGGTTTAATGCCAAACTTACCTTGAAGCTAGAGGAAACTTACTTGTTCCAGAGATCCACAAATGGCAAAGAGAAGGGGATAGAAATATTGCCTTCTTCCACAAAACAGCCAACCCTAGGTGTAGGGGTAATGTTATTACCCATGTCTATGTAGATAGTCACTCTTTCTACCAACCTGAACACATAAATCGTATATTCATCATATATTTCAAAAACCTATTCTCCAAGCCCCAACACCCCTCACCTTCTCCAAAAGCCTCTCCTTTCAATCCCTCTCACCGGCCTAATCCACCTGGCTAGAAAGACTTGGCACTACTGAGGAGATCCGAAAGGTCGTCATCGACTTACCCAAAGACAAGGCCCCTGGGCCCGATAGATTCCCCACTGTCATCTTTCAGCAATTCTAGGACACTATTGCCCCAGACCTCCTAGCATTCTTTGATAAATTTTTCCGAAGAGGACGTTTTAACTCAGCTTTAAATTGTAACTTTCTAGCCTTGGTTCCCAAAATCGAAGGAGCTCACAAGGTGAGTTACTTAAGATCCAGTAGTCTCCTCAACTCTTCTTACAAAATCTTTGCCAAGGTCTTGGCCTCCCGTCTATAGGAAGTGCTCAACTTAGTCGTTTCCCCAACCCATTTTGCCTTTGTTGCTAATAGACAAAATCTTGACAGAGCTCTCACAACTCATGAAGCCATCCACTCCAAATCTTTATCTGGTTAGAAAGCTCTCATCATTAAACTGGACTAGGAGAGGGCATATAACCATGTTGATTGGGATCTCTTAGACCATGTCCAAACTCTTATGGGCTTCGGCTCTAGATGGAGAAATGGATTAAAGCCTGCATTTGTAACCCTTTTTTCCTCGATCCGACATCTCAATGGTACCCCGGTGCGTTTCTTCCCTATTGCTAGAGGCCTAAGGCAAGGGGACCCTCTTTCACCCTTTCTTTTTACTCTTATAGGAGAGCTATCTCCAGACTTTATGAGTGGGGTTTTCTCACGGGCTTTAGGACTTCCTTGCAAGCCCTGTACTCTCTCATCTCCTTTACACGAATGATATCCTCATCTTCTGCGAGGCCCACCCTAACCAAATTGAGTGCCTTGGCATTTCCTTAGGACCTTCGAACTCTTAACAAGGATGAAACATGTCTAAGACTAAAATGTTGGGAATTTAGGTAGATATTGCCGAATTAGATTTACTTGCTCAACATTTGGGTTATGCAGCGGAGAGCCGACCCTCCTTGTACATTGAGTTGTCCCTCTACTTAGGTAAACTCCAAAAACACCTTTGGGACAAACTGGTATAGAAATTCACTTGGAAGTTCGCCAACTAGAAGGGTCGGAATCTTTCCCTCAAGCCACTTTAGACAATATCCTCATTTGTCATATGTCCCTCTTCCAAATTCCCGTCTTTGTTCTTCAATGCCTTTAGAAACTTAGGCATGATTTCCATTGGTCTGGGACAAAGGACAGCCACAAATTCCACCTTATAGCTTGGGAAAAAGAGTGCACGCACAAAAAATGGAGAGCTGGGCATCAAGAAGTTTGGAACCATGAACCTTGCCTTCCTAGGAAAATGGTGGTGGAAACTTGCACCCCTCCTATGGAAAAAGTTCATCCAAGCCAAGTATGGTCTTCGAAATTAGGGTTGGCTTCCTAGATCCCCTTCCCATAGATCCATTAGAGCTTGGAAGTGCATAACCTCTAGCAAAATAACTTTCATTCAAATCATCAGGTTTAGGGTAGGGAACGGTTAGACAGTCAAATTTTGGACCTGACCCTTGGATCGGAGATTTGCCTCTTAGGCAGGTCTTCCCCTCCCAGTCTCTCCTGGCTAACAACCAGGCAGTTGTGGTTGCAGACTACGTAGAGATTAGAGGGTTGGCCTTCGTGTGGATCCCCATCTTTAGCTGAAACCTCACTGACCAAGAATCCATTTCCCTAAACTCACTTCTTCAAATGCTCGCTCCTATTTTCAGCCATCTACTTCATCTAGACTCCATCATCGTGTCCCCTAACCATAGAGGTTCTTTCTTAGTCTCCTCTTTCTACTCCTCCTTACTCTCTAGTTTGACTCTTGCTCTTCTTCTCAACAAAATTTGGTCCCTACCAATCCGTCACAAAATCCAAGCATCTATCTGGGTACTCCTACAAGGCAAAACCCTCACCTTGGACCAGCTTCAAAGCAGGCAGCTCTCCATTCCCAACTGTTGTATCTTATGTCTCTAAGATGAGGAGACAATCTCCCACCTCTTCATTCACTGTGAGCTCTCCTCATGTCTCTGGTCCTCAATCCTCAAACTCTTCAACCTATAATGGGCTACTCTCCCTTCTTTGAACAACCTCTTCGCTGCTTTCTATTCCCCTCCTGTTTCTATAAACGGGAGAAAGCTTTGGCAATGGTATGTTGCTGCCCTCCTCTAGAGTGTTAGGCTTGAGAGGTATTCCAAAACTTTTGAAGGCATTTTGAACACTCTTATTTTTTACTCCATTATAGCATTGATCTCTTGCTAGGCTAAGCTCTTCCCAATTTTTTTTTCTATCCCCATCAGCCACTTCCTTGCCAATTGGGAATCCCTCCTGAACCTCTTTGTCCCACCCATTAGAAAAAGAGCAAAGTGGAACCCTCGCCCACCTGGCTTCCTCAAACTCAACACAGACGGTTCGTCTTTTGGAAATCCTGCACCTTGGGGATTGGCAGCACCTTGGCAAATGCATCATCTTTTCTCGTTACCTTTTCAGAATACATCAGGTATGTGGATTCCACCACTGCAGAGGCTTTGGCTGTCCTTGAAGGCCTCAAGACTTTCAAAGACTAATAGTCGAATCTGACTCAAGAAATATGATCCTCTTGGCCATTGTCCAACAGTAGCAGCCTTGGTGCCTTTACTCTATATCTGAGCATATTGATTTTCTTTGAAGCTCCATCCCACAGGTAATCTTCAGGCATATTCTACAAGAGGCTAACACAGAGGCCGATAGGTTGGCCAAGGAAGAAGCACGTCAAGACACAGGTGCATCCCCACTCCCCAGAAATCATATACCCTTCAATCTCCTATCTCCTCTCTTCCCCTCTCCTCTCTCTTCTCTTCCCCTCCTTCTCTCTCCTCTTCCCCTCCCCCCCCCCCCCCCCCCAACAACGAAAAGAAAAAGGGAAGAAAAAGGAAAAAAAAAAAAAGGAAGGAAAAATGGAAAAAAAAAAAAAGGAAGAAAAAGTTCACTCTCTATCTGCTGTTTGTCGCCCCTGATCCTTTTTCTCTCACTCCCTACTCTCTTTAAACTCTAACACCCCATTCATCTTTTCCCTCCCACTCTCTGCTCAACATCCCTTCTTCTTCACGGCCTATCACCCCCCCCCTCCCCCCCCCCTTTTTTTTTTCTATTAATCACTCTTCTTTTTATCCCCCTCATCCCTCTGCCCTCGCCATTCCTTTACTTGTGTCTCGTTACTGCCTCTCCCTTGTGCTGCAACATCATGTTGGACAAGAGGGAACTGAAGACCCATTACAACAATGTGAAGGTAACGGCATCATACAGAGAACCTATTCAAGGTGTAGTCATTACTTAACTATTTTCTTCTCTTTAGCCCTCATCTCTCTCACTACCCCGTATTTCGGTATTTTCTTCTCCCCTCCTCTCCAACTGTACATTTTGTAGTCTGAGCACCCAACATGTGGGATGCCTTTTTTTGCGCCTTTTCTTATGTAATTTTTTATATTATAAATACAAAGTTAACCATTTTTTAGAAAAAAAAATGGCACAATAATGTATGAGAAAGGTACCAAGCAATTGGCAGTCATCTTTCTTTATTGAAGGGATTTTCTTATAGGGCGCTCAGAAACTCATAGATTGGATTATGGAGAAAGCATCCATAACTTTACTAGCAAGGTAAAAAAATTAGTACGCTATCATAATTTTTTTCTTCATACCTATAACCAAGAAAACTGTAGCATATATATGACCATAGCCATAATTATTCATTATTTTGCCTACACAATTAAGTAGCTTATAAAATTAGGTGCCAACTTAAACATAGCACCATCCCAATATAATCCAGCCATGGTCAGTGGAGGGCTAGAACTCAATCATAAATGTGTATGATTTAACTTTTTAAACAACTATCGAGAAACTAAAAAATGCAAAAAAACACTCAAATTGTTGAATACACTCCACGACCATCACAAAGCATGAACGACACATCTTAACGTCTAAAAAGGAAAGCTTTGATAGAAGCAAAGAAGGAAAAAGAAAAAAGGTCTTTCAAACCTGATCAATTATTTTTGACTGCTCCAAATCCAACTCCGAGAGATCAATATTTGCTTCTGTCAAACCTTCCTCACGCGGAAATCCCTACAAATGGGATTCGAAGAAACAGATTACTTCCAGGCAGACTCTTGTGTTCAATAATCATAACATGGACAGCTAAAACAAAAATAAATGACTTATATTTCCACGCATACAATTTAGTAGATATAATAACTCATACTGCATGTAGAATCCTAGGTAAGTTTCCGTAACTATTTAAGGATTATGCATTTGGGTCAAGTGTAACCAAACATGTAAGCTATAATAAAATGGAAAGAAAGATACTACCATACTGAAGGGTACCAGATTTCCCAAATAGAGTTGCAGGAACCTTGGGGTAAGGCTATGGTCTGACCTTAGAAATTCGATGGCACAGTCCCTCCAAGAGATGTGTCTCTATCAACCTTCCCATTTTCTAGAGCCTTCGATGGCCTCCGGTGGAAGGCTCCTTAAGTATAAGGTCCAAACTCTCTTATCCTAATACGAGACCTCTAGCCAGAACTACAATCGCAGTCCCCAATCTATTTGTCCCCTATGCCCTCAGAGGAGATTTCAATGTAATTAGGTGGATCCATTAGAGAAACAAAGGGGGCATCATTCTTGGACTTCATCAAATCCAAATCTCTCCTTGATATTCCTCTCTTGCGATGTTCTTTCACTAACCATGCAGCAGACCCCTCCTATGAAAGTGGATGATGTGAATTTGCACAGTATATAAAGTTTAAAATTTGTCTTTTTCAAAACCGGCTAGAACACTTATATAAGTCCAATGATTGCAATAAGAACTCAAATAAACAAATAAAAAATTTAAAATGGATTCTCACTTGCTGCCACTTTAAAAACTATTCATTACATAATAAAAAATTACATCAACTTGATTTTTGGGAACAAGAAACATAAGAATGCAATAAAACAAATAAAATGCCAAAAGATTACCGCTTATGGGCTTTTACACACACCACAAGTGTCCTCCACTGATGGTGCACAGGATTTAGATCGTTCATAGATCTCACAAACTTTGGGAAGCTTTGGCTAAAAACCCTTCTATGGATATGAGAGCAAGTGGAACAAAATAGGCCTTCTCTCTAGGTTCACTATGTAGGGCGTTTCCACTCTATGGATGAATCAAAGTGAGGCGTGCCCCCTTTCCTATCTTAGAGAGAGTATGGGAGTTAGAGTGAAAAAGATAGAGAGAGATCTAGAGAGGGTGGCGTGCCACCATTGGGAGAGAGAGAGAGATCTAGGTTATAGGTGTAGAGATAATCCCATTGAGACATTTTATAGAATTGTGGCTAGGGTTAAGGTTTCTAGGGTTCAGGAATCTTTATGGAGATTCCAACTAGTCCATTGATCATAACTGACCAATGGGGTGAAAAAACATAGCCATACAATCTCTAGATCATCCATCATGATCAGACAGAAAGTGCCAGCTTCCTTAACCTAACCCATCACATATTTAGTGTAGAAAACATATTGCAGTTGTCTTTTATTTTCAAACAATCTCTACACATGCTGATTTTAGAACTACAAGAATGACTTTTGAATAATTTATTTTCTTCTCTCAATAATTCAATATCTCAATAATTCAATACCATAAAATTCAGTTTAGCTTATTTTAAAATCAATTTTGATAAAATAAAATATTCAGAGACTTCTAAATAATTGTTTTAATATTTTAACTATCATTTATAACAAAATTAATTATATCTGAATTAATATGATGGGAATCGGATCCAACTTTGTTAAGGAATAAGTGAAAAAACTAACGCACTTCATTTCTACTAGTGACTATGTTCCACTCTTACTTTCTCAAACTGAGCAAGTAATTCCCATGACCCATAGTCCATCATAGGGGTCCATTGGTGCATGGAAGCTATCTCTCACACATGTACATGCAACACCCTCAATAGTGTTCACGTCCCTATACAGCTATCATATGTAGTTATGCACATGCCGTGTGATGGCAATGATGAGGATTTGGCCCTTGTCCCTTCAAACCTACCAATCACACACAAGTGTCACGAAGTCCCTTGGCCTACTACCCTGGGCATCTCTCCGACCTCATCAAGGGGTAACCCTACTAACCCTTCTCGATTGTGTTATATGCCCAGGTTTCATAGGGTTTTAGAATTCAACTCGACCGAGCTCATCAAACCTATTTTTACTCTTGGCATCAGTATTGCCAACTTCGGCTCCTCTGGACCATATTCCCACTGGAGTTCATTGTTCCGCTATCATAAAATTCATTACATGCTCTCGTAAGGCCTTTAGATGGCCACAAAAATCCAAAATCTCTCACTTGGTCTTTGAACGCCTTACAATCTCTCTTTCTCGTTCTCTCTCAGTCCCATCCCATGTACATATTGAACAAAAACATTTGCAACTAATTCTTTTGTAAAAGGTCTACAACCATTGCCTCTATGGGAACATATGTGATCTTGATTTCTCCAAGTTGTACCTTATTTCGGACATGATAATAACACGAATTGATATGCTTGGATTTCTTATAATATCGTCGCTCCTTAGTCACATAAACTATAGCTTGGTTGTCGCAAAAGATCCTTATGCACCCACATTGAACAGGCTCAAACTTGAGTCAATAAAGGAACTTCTTTATCTATACAGCCTCCTTTGCTATCAGACAACATGCCATGTATTCTAATTCCATGGTGGATAATTCCACAACATCCAGTTTCTTTGATTTCTAAGAAACAACACCACCTCCAAGCATGAACACATATCTAGATGTGTATTTCATGTCATCGGGGTCACCATGTTAGCTCGCATTTATATAACCTTGCATGAAAATTTTTTAACCTCCCCCATATGTCAGCATGTAGTTCTCAGTTCCACTTAATTACCTTTGAACTCTCTTAACCGCCTTCCAATGTTCAATCCCAGTGTTGCATTGGAACCAACTAATCATGCTCAAGGCAAAGGGCAAGTCTTATCTTGTTCCTGAAATGACATACATCAAGGATCCTACTACGCTGCAAGAAGGAATTTTTTCCATGGCCTTTTTCTCATTATCATCACCAGGGCATATTTGCAGGCTAAGTTTTGTCTTCTTGTCACTAGGTGAAGATATGGGCTTATACTCATCCAATTCAAACTTTTCCAGTACTCTTTGGCAGTAAGTCACCGAGGAAAGTTAAATAGTTTGGTTTGCTCTATTTCTTGTTATCTTGACGCCCAACACATATGAAGCTTCCCCTAGATCTTTCACATCAAAGTGTCATGAAAGAAATTGAGGCAGGAAGGAAAGATGGGAAATTAAATCCACCCTTTCCTGAAACTTAAACAACTAAAATCAACTATAATAGAGAAAGAACATGGTTGTAAATCAAACCAAGAGAAAAATTTTTTGCTTTCATAAAACAATATTCATTCTCATAACATATGCCTCCTAAATTTGACATCCAATATTATAAGCCTATGAAACCCTAATTTAATTTGCGATCCAAGTAAACATTCAAGACTTTAAAATATATCTAAAATAATATTAAAATTTCAAAAATACCCCTTTGAACAGTAACACGTGAATAGTACAACATGAACAATGCTGTGAACAACAACATGTGAACAGTAACATGAATAGTACTTGTGAATCCCAAAAAACTAAAAATCCTAAAAATAAATCCTAAAACTAAAATCAAAATATACATCCATTAAAATCAAATAGAAATTAAAAATAACTATAATTTTACCTTCCATCATTCTACCCAGGTTGGAAAAAAATTCGTCCTTGAGTTTCAAATTGTGCTAAGATGTATTCAACATCAAAACTGCATTCTTCAACCTTCTTCTCCTTTATTAGCTCAAATACTAATTGTGGTAAAAAAACAATTCCAGAAAAAACGGATCCTAATATGTAAATTGAGGAATCAATGCAAATTTATCAAATTCAGTTATTCTTAAGCTCCTATTGAAAATCCCGTAAGGAACTTCAAACCCAATTTTTTTTATTTTAAAAAAAAAAAATTCATCAATTTCATTACTCTCTGAAACCAGCGCCACAATTTATATATTATGAATCGACCACACTTCTATAACGCTATTCTGATTCCAATGTCCTCAATCACCTGAATGTTCCACCGCTTTAATATCCTTAAGATTTTCATTTTTTCTTCATCAAAGCTTGGTTCACCCACAAAATCTTAATCATCATCCTAGATTGAATCTCTTACAGGATCTTGTTTATAACTAAGTATGTATCGAAAATTGGTGGTTGATCTCAAACTAAAACTTGCTGATTTTCGATACGACCTACGCCAAAATCAACCTCGTTCTCCTTCAAATCATTTAGATCAACTAAATCACATGATATATTCTCCAACATGAGGCTCTCAACAAAGAGCACAGGCATAAAATGGGTGGTTGCAGAAAGCTTCATCATTCCTCTCCAGCTCTGAGTTGGACTCTGATTCACACCATTCTCCATAAAAACCCTCACAATTTGGATATATCCCCATAGGTTCCTCTTCATTTGGGGACCCTTGCTTGCGCAGCAATAGCTTTGTAATCCTCTCCGTCAAGTTGTTGGTATCCTTGCAAAGTTGGATCAGATCGACATCCCTACGGCTAAGACCTGACAAATCATCGCAATCTCCAACCATCCTCGAACTATGCTGTAACACATGAACACGAACTGTGAACAGTACCCTGAATAGTACTTGTAAATAATAAATAAAAAATATAAGAAAACTCTAGAATCCCCAAAAAACTTAAAATGCTAAAACTAAAATCAAAATAAACATCCTTTAAAATTGAATAGAAATTAAAAATAAGTATAACTTTGCCCTCCATCAGGAATTCTTTTGTTTCCAACACAAGGGCCATTGATCTACTAACTATTAACATATCATTCACGTATAGTGATATGAACACAACATCACTCCCATTGACCTTATTATAAATACAGTAGTCTTCCTCATTCAACCCGCTTGAGGCAAGCTCTCTTGAAATTTGATATACCATTGTTGCGATGCTTGTTCTTGGCCATAAAGGGATTTTTTGGAGTTTACAAACTAGGTTCCCCTTTCTTT